GCAGCTGTTCTCCACCTCTGGCGTGAAGCACCCTCAGCATCGCTGAGATTCTGCATCTTGTACTACTAAGGTCAGCCTCAAACCTGTTTTATTAATCCTTCTATTTTGTCATTAACTATGTGTTTAATGCTGAGTCTTATTAAATTAAATCAGTTTGACCTGTGAAGGACAGGATCAGGGACTGGATGACACTTACTCTGCTATTAAACAACTTTCTTGGGAAAAAAAAAAACCAAACAGTTGGCAAAGTACAGGGCACAACTTTTTACTTTTGCAATTGCCTGTTAACATCCCCCCTACTCAGATAATTTTTTATCCAGGAGTTTTGTGCAAACCTGTTGTGGGTTTGAAGCAGTGCCGGAGAGAGGGTTCTCTACAGGACTCAGACACTGCATGCTTATGCCTTAAATAGTTGAGTGCAACTCAACGTGGTGGTAAGAAAATGAGCAGTTAATGTTGTTCAAGTGTTAATTGTGCCAGAAATTAAGAGTGTGTTTTCAGAGCCCCAACCCAGCAGTACTAAGAGCAATTAATTAATTTGTTTGTGTGATTTCTCTGAATGGGTGGCAGGAATCAGGCTGATCGCTTGGCTCCAGGCGCAGTGGGGGCAGGCTGTAGCAGCTGATGATCGCACATCAGCCTCGTTTTTTCTTCTAACTGAAGAAATGGGAGAAAATCAGGGTATGTGAAAAATCTTGTTTGTAACTCCCTTCAGACCTCACCAGTTGTTCTTGATTTCCTTCGGGCCTCTAGCACTGTTGAAGCCAATGGCACTGGCCTGCAACTGGCTTAGGAAATTGAGGTGACATACCCTTGTTCTGCTCCAATGCAGCAGTAGCAGGAGTGGAACATCTTGCTGTAAGAGAAATAACTGTGTGTACCGCAGTATTTAAATTCTATGGTCTGGCACAGGCATTGCAGAGATGTAAAATTGTCTGTAATTGAACAAAATTGTAAAAATTCTTCCAATACTTTATAAAGACAGTTTTGCAGTGATAGGTTGCATAATTGAAGGGATAACCAGACCCTAATTAGACCTTTCCTTTTAAAATTGCGCAATGAGCTAAATCCTCCAAGCTTCCCATGCAACCTGTTTGAATAATGCAGTGTCCCAATATAAGCTGAGAAATTATTGAAATTCAAAAGCATATTCAAAAGCATGTAGTCTTAAATCAGCAAGAGGAAAATGTGTATTTGGGATATATACAATGGAAAGGACCATGCAGGAGGTCACCAAAACACGCACTTTGTCTGGAATTATAAGAGAGCTGAATATGGCACTGGCTGCTAATAACATATATGAGCTATTCAGAATAAGGGTAATCAATGCTTCAGGTCACTCAGCTCAGCTGATCATGAATATATTATCTCCTGCAGAAGCTTCTCCCTTCCTGCTTTACAATATCACACTGTTGTTCGAGTGCATTACAAAAGCTTTTGCTAATTTGGAAACGTAAAGTACTATCTTCTGTGCTGCCAGAGGTACCATATACATAAGCCAGAAGAATCTGTGTGAAGCCATACATTTGGGGATCTGTCGTGTTGCTTTCTTCCTTTTGCCAGATGCATTTAATGTTTTTCTGAATACCAGCCACAGCCTGGGATGGAGAGAGCAATTGCTGTGCAGGTTTCCCCAGTTTCTGGGTCTG